CTCTATCAGGTTCCAGTGCTTGGCTCGTTGCTTAAGTAGCTCCTCCACACGGTTGGTGCTGTTGAGGGTCGCCTTCCCGGGATTCCACGCGACCTGGTAGATACACAGGATGTCTAACGGAGTCTCAAAGAGCAGGCGGACGTGTAGCAGGCGTCCCGGGGCTACAACCACATGTCGTAGGCGGTCAGCTGGCAGCAGAGTGGACCTGACAAGGCAGAGAATACCAGTCTTGTTGGGGCCACCCGAGTGAATGGCAAACCACTGCACTTCCTGTGGGTCCGACTGGGCCGTGCAGAACTCGAAGTCCTCCTTCCAGGCCGTTTCCTGGATACAGGCAATATCAATGGGTCGCCCTTGTGCAGCCTCCTGTTTCATCCATACAAGGATTTCCTGGTAGGTGTTTGAGGAGAGACCCCCACAATTGTAAGTCATCACTCGGAGTCTGCGACCCTGCCTGGTGGGTGGTGCTTCGCGCCGGGAAGGATCAACGGCACGGGCACTACGGTGACCAAGTTCACTGAGATGCATTCGTCGGCCTTTGTACCAGGTTGTCTGATCATCTCTGGCACTGGCACGGCGAACTGCTCTATGGAAAGCTCGTTTCCTACCCCTGGGGTGATCATGTAGAGGAGGCCTAGTGTAACGGCTATCACCGCTCGACTTCGCCTCGGCATTCGTCGATGGAGCAAAGAGTGAGGCCCAGGACCCCATTGGTGAGGAGGTCCAACCCTCGCGTCTGATGCGGCACTGGTTGCTGATTGGAAAAGGACACATATCACTGCAAATCTAAGCTTGATAGCAGTCCAGGCTGAAGGCTTGCCACATCTCTGGGACTTGGGACCCAGACGGCTCTGCTGTAGATCGGGTCCTGGCGGTCCTCTTGGAGCAAGTAGAGGACCAAACCTTGCAGGCGTGGGAGTGGGAGAACGGAAAAACCAGAGTGGTAGAGTGATGGCCTGCATGCTGACAAACACGGCTTGGTTCTGAAACAACATCACAGTGACATAACCAAGGCAGCCACCGGTCACAATCGCCAGGGCGAGGAAGTAGACAGCCTGGCTCGTGAGGGCATATAAAGAGTGGGTCACCATGGTGTATGCAGTAGCGCGGAAATTGTCAAGCATGAGCACCCCGAACAACGTGGCGAAGTGCAACACTGTTGAGTGCGCCACCCTCGGTGTGCGAACGGACGTCCGGCTCAAGTACCTGGTCGCCGAAGACAATGGTGGGCAAGGCTGTGTACCAGGAGTTGCAGTGAGAATGCGCCGGTGCAGGGAGGCTGGGATTTTGCTCGACCGCGGCCACCCTGGCTCACAGCAGGCGTGACATAGCCCAAGCAAGGCCCCTATGGCGACAAGACTGCCAGCAAGGTCACTGGCTCTCGGAGCCCTAAGCACAAAGAGTCCCTTACTCACTGCCCTCTCGGCGTCGCCTGAGCATACGGATGGGGTGCAGGTCTGTGGGTACGGCACAGGTCTATCCCCCAAGAGCCTAGCGCACGGTGAATGGGGCCCCAGCTTGCTGTTGGCCCTTCTGTTTGGGTGACGGTGTAGCATCCGGGTTGTCGGTCTCGGTGTGGCCAGCCCTGCCCCTCCTGGTCGATAAGGTCATGGTGCTGGAGGTCATGGTGCTGGATGTCGGAGTATGTCGCCTGGCATCACCCGGGGTCACCGACGTAGCTGCCGTAGCTGTCGAAGCCGCCACCTCCTCGTCCTCCTCGGGGCCGTCCGTACTGTACAGGAGTGCCCCCGGATGATCTTGTTCCCAACCAACCATGGGTCGTACCTCCACGGTGACATTGGTGAGGTTTCGCCAGGAGTACGGGAGGTGGGTCAAAATGAGGCCTTCTCGTTCTCTGCCCGCAGCCGCCAAAGCCTCACCCACAGCCAGTGAGATGCGAAGAGCCGGCGTGAGCTCGATCTCCCGCCGCGACGCCTCCCCCTCCTCATCCATCGGTATGCCATCCGCAGGTCGCCGTGCCACGGCCGTCGGCATAGGAGGCGGAGGGCCTCGAGGATTTCTTGGATCCACTGCTGCCTCAGGGAAAGCATCCTCGGCTGCATCACTTGTGGACCATACCTCAGCAGGTGCATCCTCAGCCATCAAGCTGGTTGAGATAGCCGTCCCGCAGCTACACTGTCGCAGTCTGTGAGCCTTTAGCCAGAGTGCGCACAGCTTGGTCCATGCACAGCAAACACAGTCTAGCGAGGACATTGCAAGGAGACGGCACTCTGCTGTAGCAAGCCACAGCCAGTAAGAAAGCCCGGGGCACGGCCTGTGGAGAGCGACCACTGGTCCAGCAGCTGATGCCGGATACAGTAAGGTGAGCACTGCTTGGCCCACAGCTCGAATCGCGAGGGCACAGCCTACCAGGGAGCTGAGCGGCAGCACGAAGAAGCCTTGGAGCGCCTGTGTCAGAGCCAGGGAGGCTCCTAATCGTGCAGCCATCACCTGGGACCAGGCTCCATGAAGTGCTCTGTGCACCTCAATCTGAAGTTTGGCATGTGGATCCCCGATGAAAAGAACCCAGTAGACCCATTTAATCCATGGTATCCAATGGCCCTTGGCTGCATTGATAAACCGCATGAAGCATCGAGAGGCCAAACTGTCTGTCGAAGGCAAGGGTTTTCTCCAAGACAAAGACTTTCCGATGCCCATCCAACAGAAACCACCCAATGAACCAAATGTGAAAAGCACCCATGTCAATCCAGCAGAACCGCAGCAGTTGTTGCCTGAGTCGAAGCTCCGTCGTCGAGCACTCTTGCCACTGCATAGTGAGCTGTCCGAGGACCAAGTTCTCAACAAAGATTCCATGGTGGCCACGACCCACCATATAATGATGAATCTTGTTGCTGCCGTGAAGTGCAGTCGAGTCCATAGCAGCCCACCGATCATGCCCCTAAGACTGAAAACACACACCTCTTTCCACTCAAATCTCACTCCAAAAAGTCCGCTCCCTGCCCGGATTCGCGGTCTCGCTGACCACATCATCCGGCTTGCTGGAGCCGAGACGCTTACATACATCTACATACATACGTACATACATGCATACATACATGCATACATACCTACATACCTACACACCTACATACCTACATATCTACATACCGACGTACCTACGTACCGAGGTACCGACATACCTACATACCTACATACATACATACATACATACACGCATACATGCATGCATACGTACATACATACCTACACACACACACATACACAGATACCGACATATCTACCTCATATGTACATACGTACGTACACCCGTACATACGTACATTCGCATTCGCACACATGCACCTAGAAAACACACCAGGAGATATAAATATGAGTATGAAGACGTCCATATATGTATATACACATGGATGCTCGTCCTCATGTTTATGTATTGTTTGACCCGTATGTGGTGTCATCTAGCTGTTTTATCTGAAAACTCACGTTTATCATTACGACTGCACATGCACATATACATACATAGTACGCACACCACGTACAGCACATGCATATGATGCAAAACGAGCTCCATTCCGCACATAACATATATAACATACATAGGCTACGTTGTACAAATACCGTTACAAATACCGTTACATCTACATGCACACTGTACACGCCCGTATACACCTCGTAAGTACCGGAAAACTTGTTATATTTCAAAAAACTTACATGCTCGACATAGTTTGCATATTGCATACACATACATGTACATATACACGTACACATCCACATATACATATACATCTACATATACACATACATATGCGCATACACATGCACATACACATGTACAACACACACACACACACACACCTGCAAAAGCCACTGACGATGCCACCTTGAATGAAATACCACTTGTCGGCGTTGCTGCCCCAGTTGCACCATGCTGTCCCCCACCGCAAAAGAGCTGCAGGCCAGAAGGATGTGCACATATCTTTGGGTATCGATGGATGTAACTTGTAGGTATCTATCTTTGGATCATGATATTGTCCCTCCAGCCTACGCCCGCAAACTCTCCTTGCCAGGGTACCGTGGAGGCCATGGCCGCCGCACCGGCGGCGACGGCCAAGATGGACTTCTGGCCTCGGCGACTTGCGGCTTGGGCGTGTGTGGATCGGATTAGGGAGTTTAGGGTTTGTTAGGGGCTTTAGGGTTTTAGGATTTTAGGGCTTTAGGGTTTTAAGGCTTTACGGCTGTCGGGCTTTATTTACAGTTTAAGGTGCTGGGCTTGTGGAAGGAACCCCAAGTCAAAGATCAAATCCAGTGCCCATGCTTGTCTCCTGAGCAGTATAGAAGGGCCAATGATCCATTGGGTATTTCAGAGTATGACCGAGACCGTTCAGGGATTTGGGCTGCAGGGTCTTCCAAACCCGGGATCAGCGGCGCACCGCAAACTTACGACCCACATCTCAGCTTCATAGAGGCAGGTCAATGATGTATGTTCTCACAGCTGTCAACCGACGACAAGAGTCATGCACTTGCATGTCACCTCTGAGGAACTGGCTGCTGGCCATCGTGATTGTACAGAAGTTAAAATTAAATGCGATGGCGAGTCTACCCAAAAGTGCCTTGAGAAAATATTCTCGGATGCCGCGATTGCCAAACCTTCAGTCTGAGCCCGACAAGTCATGAGTCGGAGCCCTCAACATCGAACCAGAGCGCTCTCACAGGTCTTCCAGGGACAAACAGCAGGGAAAGCGTGATTATCTTAGGTCTTGCATCAGACCTCTGGGCCTCCCTGTCGCTTCCGCAACCCAATCGGTTCCCGGCACACTGAAGAATAGAGATGCTCACGCCGTGAACCGAAGCAGCCTTTTCCGCTAAGCAGCCATGTTCCTAGCTTTCGTTCATGAGAACTCTTCAGGGAAACTGCTTGCCACAACTGCTACAAACAAAGATTGAAATGGGAAGCACTAGATGCAATCCCACTTCCGCACACGACAGAAGCAAAATAAACCTAACTCCAAATCCTAAAATCTAAATCCCAAACCAACATAAGCCTCCTTCCGTGCCAGCTTCAGGCCCTCCTTCGCAAGATGCTTCCGGCCGTGAACCCCCGCTTCGGTCATATACCCCGGGAGAAGGCTCCGTTTAGGAGACTGCTACGAACATGCAAAGCCGTCCAGGCACCTTGATTGTGAGAAACAGAGAGAAAGAGACACAGAGTCAAGGAAAATGAGAGTAGTAGTAGAAGTAGTAGTAGTAGTAGTAGTAGTAGTAGTAGTAGTAGTAGATGTAGTAGTAGTAGTAGTAGTAGCAGTAGTAGTAGTAGTAGTCGTCGTCGTCGTCGTCGTAGTCGTAGTCGTAGTCGTGGTCGTAGTAGTAGTAGTAGTCGTCGTCGTCGTGGTGGTGGCGGTGGTGGTGGTGGAGTGAATGGTAGTAATAGTCGTAGTGATAAGTAGTAGTAGTAGTAGTAGTAGTAGTAGTAGTAGTAGTAGTAGTAGTAGTAGTAGTAGTAGTCGTGGTAGCCGCCACAAGTGCTCAAGCGGCCGCGCTGAATGAGAGGCTTCGAACAGGCTTGGGGCGCAACTGCTGTGCTAGAGGTTCCCACCGGGCCCTTTTCTGAACAGTAAAGGTTTGTGCCTCCTTCTACGCCATGGTCCTCTCCCTTTTCTCACAGGAGCTGCTTTGAGCCGCCAGGTCCCAATTCCTGGGCCCAGACTCTGTTTAAAACATTGCAACACTGGGTAGGCGGTAGGGTTTCCACCTCCGCGCGGTGGAGGGAGTCATTAGGCTTCTGTCTCTTGACGAAAGTAGCGGATGGCGCAATTGCCAGTGCACTCACAAAACTTTGCATCTCTTCGTAAGAATTCGTTCAAGACAGCATGTAGAAGGACAGTCCGTAGTGACGGGCCCGTACCATACCGAGGGCAGGTTCTGACACCCACCCTGGTCGATCGTCTAGGGGTGCGCCCCCCACCCACTCGAAGAGAGCTTCAGTCACAGACTGCTGACTCCCCTGCATATGGCACAGCCTCCCGCAGGGCAGGAAGGTTGGAAAGATCCATTCGAGTTCTTTCGTGGAACGCGGGCCACCTAGGCCAACAGCAATGGGGCGAACTCAAAACATGGCTAGCAGCTGAAGCCTCTCATCACTGCGACATCCTCATATTGCAGGAAACGCACTGGACTGAGACCAGCGAATTCAGCGTTTCTGGGTGGTACTGTATCTCCTCAGCCTCGGAGTCTACCAAACCCAACACCCGGCCTAAACAAGCAGCAAAGCGAAACACTCGGCAAGAACCGCGAGCCCCATCCACGACTCGCGCTGATGGAGTCATGATCCTATTCTCTCCCAAGTTCGTCCCCAAGAGCTTACGCTGGAAGGAGTGGAGCCCGGGTAGAGTCTTAGAAGCTCGCGCGGACATTGCGGGTACTCGGCTGGTTGTTGTCGCGGTGTACCAACACGCTTGGTCTTCTGCCAAGACCATCCAGTCCAATAAGGACGACCGTGCTAAGGTGCTATCTGTCATGTCCAAGGTGATCAAGCAGGTGCCTAAGAGGGACTCCCTTATTGTAGCAGGTGATTTTAACACTTCCTTGCGTCCGAGCTCTCCATTGGTGGGACCGCACGTGAAGCCACCTACTGAGGACCGCCCTGATGAATCCAACTTGTTTAACCTGCTGCTCAGGTTGCGTTTGGTTGCCCTCAACACCTGGCAATGTGACCATATAGCTACCTTCTCACAAGGAGGAGTGGAGTCGCAAATTGACTTCATTCTCACCAAAGAATCTACGGCGGGAGGCAAAGCAAAAAGGTCAGCCCCCTGGGTGGACTGCCCGTTGGGAAGCTGGAAGAAAGGGGGGCATTACCCGCTTAAAGCTGACGTACCCCTCCAGCATCACTGGCTGCTCCCATCCCACAAACCCAGCACGCGCCGTTACGATTCACTAGCTTTACAGGCCTCGGTCAGAGAGGAAGACGAGACGGCAAAGGCACTGCACAGCTGGATAGCTTCCAGAATTGACACCTGCCAGGACCCCAAGGCATGGAATGCGTTGCTTTTGGAAGGTGCAGAACGCTTTTTCCCAAAACTTCCCAAAAGAATACCGATTCTGCTGGAATCGGAAACCCGTCGCATGTGGCGGGCCCGCACCCATGACAGGGCTGCGAATACTCCCTCAGCACAGCTGATCGAGTCACCTAAAGCAATGGCACAGCCTCCTAATCGGAACACGCCACGTCCGCCGGAAACAGAAGCTGAGCTGGCACAAGTGGCACATCGCCAAGCTGTGAAACAAGCAAAGAAAGATCGAATTGCAAGTTTCATATCGGAGGTAGATGCGAGTCTAGCTGAAGGTGATCAACATATCTCCTTCCAGACCCTCAAAAAGCTGCAGCCTTGGCAGCCCGCGCGCAGAGCTCAGCTAAAGGACAACACAGGACATCTCCTAGGCCCAGCGCAGGAACTAGCAGCCCTCAGGGATTATGCCAATCAGGTATTTGCGGCCCACCCTCCGTTACGGACTATGCATGGTGCTTTCCCTGCTTTGGAGCCACCCAAACTAGCAGCTCACATACATTCCATCAAGCCGAACAAAGCTGTTCCTGACGGCGCGGCACCAGCGGCTGTATGGAGGCTGTGTAGCGATCTCGTTGCACCGGTCCTCTCCGAACACGTAGCATCCAAGCAGGCCGAGGACAGTCTAGAATCCGACCTAGTCGACGCAGATCTCTGTTTAATACCCAAGCCGGGCAAGCCCTCTGATAAACCAGCAAACTTGAGACCCTTGGGTATCCTTAGACCTGACGCTAAGGGACTGGCGGGAGCGGCCAGAGAAGCGCTTCAACCACTGACCCTCTCGTTCCTCAAGCACATGCCGCAGTTCGCTTATCTGCCAGGCACGATCCCTGTTAGAACAGGCCCACCCCACGAGACATGCCTTGCAACAAGGCACACAGGCCCCAGCCTTAGTCGGCGGCCTCACCTTTGCTCTTGACCTCAGCCAAGCGTTTGACACAGTCTCTCGCCAAGAGATCATCGACCTTCTTCAGAGTGAAGGGGCCGATCAGGACACAGTCCACCTTGTTCAGGCTCTACATGACGGGTCTCGTTACGTTCTTCACGCGCAGGGAGATTCCACCTCTGTTGAAACCACAGCAGGCATTAAACAAGGATGTAAGCTCGCCCCCACACTCTTCTCGTTCCTCACAGGTGACCTTTTCCGCTCTCTGGTCGACCTTTTCGGTGCTGAGCAGGTCTTGAAGTTCCTGACTGGCTATGCCGATGATCTCACGCTCCATCGGACTATCCGCTCCGACAAGGACCTCAGGGCCATTCATGCTCTCATCGCAGCGCTGCTTGAAGAGGTCCGCAAACATCGCCTTCGCGTCAACATTAGCAAGTGCGTCATCTTAGTGAAGTTAGCGGGAAGAGAATCCCAAAACGTGCTGAACAAACATGGCTGCTGGATCACCAACTCAAAGGGCGAGCAGGTTCGCGGATGGCGCATAGGGCCCAACAAATCTTTCCCCGCCTTCCAGTGGGTCTCCTGTAGCAAGTATCTGGGGGTTATGATCTCCTACAACCACTTCGAGCTGCAGTCCTTGCATCACCGCATTGGGGAAGCCAAGCAAAAGCTGCATCAAGTCCGCCAGTTTGTCTACAATCGCCGGCACGCGAGCACCATGTCGAGACTTAAGGTTTGGCAAAGCACAGTCCTGAGCACACTGACTACAGGCCTCTCAGACGTCGGACTTAGCGAGGAGTCGGCCAAGCAGCTACGTAGTTGGCATGCTTACAAGGTGCGATCAGTGCTGAACTTGCCAGCACACACCAGCCGCATCACCACTAAGGACCTCTTCCAGCTTTATAGCATTCAGGACCCAGTTCAAGCGATGCAGGTCAAGCTCAGGAAGCGTCTCCGCAAACTTGAGCGGCGTGCAGCCAGAAGCCCAGATATCACAACCGATCCTGCTGTCCTGCAAGTCATCCGGGACAAGCTGCATTTCATGTCACAGCTCCCAGAAACAGTTGAGCACCCTGTAGCCCTACATGCATGCACACTCTGCGATGCCTCCTTTGAGACAGCAAACGGGTTACACTTACACAAGTCGAGAGTGCATCCGGCCAGCATTGACCGATTTGTGCCATCAAGCTTCGATCGGCAACTCCACGCGGTGGATGGGATGCCGCAATGTGCCGCCTGCATGCGCAAATTCCATCAATGGAAAGGTCTACGTGACCACCTGTTGTCAGGAGCATGTCCGGAACCCCAGAAGCTTCGAACTCTGAACGTGACTGACAAACACTCCAGTCACCCTGAGGTAAGGACCCTGTCCCAGCTGCGTCAGGACATTGCCCAACTCCCACAACATCGAATAGCGGGGATCTCAAAAACACCGGAGGCCCGGATCCTGATCCATAGGTGCCTCACGTGTGACTTCTGGACTTTCGATCACACTAAAGTCAAGTCACACTTTCGTCAGGCGCATCCTAAGGACTGGTCAAGGCTGCACAAACGCGCAGTCTCTATATGTCAGGGTTTCTCACCTCACCTTGCCAAGGGACACCCGTGCTCATTCTGCGGCTATAAGGTCTATGATCGTCGACTGCACCCGGAACAATGCCCCGTACTTTATCAGGTGAGTACACAGTGGCTGCGAGGGCAACCGGAGGCAGAGGAAGCCGTTACCGCTCCCCCCTCCAAGCCCCACGAACGGTCACTGACCCACTTCTTTAAGCCACGGTCGAATGGCACAGCCTCCAATCAGTCGAGCACAGCTCGTCACACCCCGGCAGACAAGCAGGCGCCTGATCCGCAGTCCTCAGGACAAGCGGAAATTAGACCCGAAGGAGTGCACAAACGCGCTCTGACTAACACGTCCAACTCGTGTTACGCTAATGCCCTGTTTCAGGCTCTGCATCAGATCTCGAGCTTTGGGTATGACCTGGGTGCTTTCCAGTCCGTCCTCTCCCATCTAGGCGACGAGCGAGCCCCCAGACTACTGAACCTGTTAGGCTTGTTTGAATTTCGCCATGCCATCTCAGGCTGGCGACTTGACGGCAGACAGCATGATGTCTCG